TGCATGGAAAATCCAGAATGTCCTCTCTTTCCATCTCTTGCCTCTAACCTTTTCTCTGTATGTCTGCTTCTTTTTTTTTTTTTTCTGTTTCTTTCCCTGCAGAATTGCTTTCTTAGTTTACTAATCTACATGACAGAGAACAGAGCTGAGACTAGGGTGAGGTGAACAAGGTGCAAAATTTCAGTGAGAGCCAGAAAATTCAGGATGGAGAGAAATAATATGTTCATGTAATATTTCAAAGTTAATGATGAGCACAATATCAAAATTTTTAAAAAGGTAGGATTAGTATAAAAATAGCTCGTTTAGTGAGTTGGTTTCCAAATAATAAGGGAATTTAATTTATCTTATGATTTTTTATTATAATTTTTGGAATGTCTGAAAAGTATAAAGTTCAATGTGTCCTTTAATTTTGGATGATTTTAACCTTTAGGATACTTGTTCTTCATTTGCCTTGTCATTGGGTGAGTTTAAAAATATTTGAATTTCAGAAAGGTTAAGTGTTTTGTTACCTGTCTGTAATAATAAACATTTTTTTGCCATTTTAAAGTTCAAGTGACCATCTGTGTTAGTGTTTGTGTTAGGCTATAATAGCCTGGAGATGATAACCTAGATTCTGAAAGGAAACTGTAGCAGTGATAGATTACTAAGAAAGTATCTTAGATAATAAAACAGTGTGCCTTGAATTATTCTCAGCCCCTGCCCTACTCAGTCATAATGGAATCATTCAAAGTGATGCTCATTTTTAGGTTTGTCAAAACAAATTTGAAATAAATGAAAGTATAGATATCCTATTTTTTATAATTATAGATGAAGAAAGAAAACAAGAAATAAAAAATATAATTGTGTGAATAATGTTAGAAAAAACCTGATGTTCAATAACAATGGGATACTTAAGCAAATTATGATATATCTATATGAATTACTATATAGTCATACCCAATTGAGGGTTTGTATGCACTATAACAAATACTATATTTTAGCCATATTGGAAACCATAGTTTCCTCTTTTGTACAAATCAGCAGAAATAGGAACAGTTTAACACATTCTTTTATAAGTGTTTTTACCTTGTTATTGCTTTTCAAAATATAATTGAGGCAGAAGAGAACCTGCTTAAGATTTTCCAGGTTGGAATTAATTTTTTCACTTGAGTGTATTAGAAAGTAGGTGCTAGACCCTCTAATGAGAGCTGTAAAGCATCGTCATGGACCAGGTGCCAGACTATTCAAATAATTTAATTTTCTCTTTAGAGTTACACCAGTGATTGAAAACATGGGCTGTGAGGGGGGGCTAGAGGGTTGGGGTGAGATGAAATGAATATATAGGCAAGGAGCAATTTCAGGGTTGATAACTTCATCCTATTATATATTTCCAACTATGCTAATCCTAAAGCTCTTCTGAGAATCTATTTTTTACTAATTTTCATCCTCTCTGTATGTTATTTTTTAAATCTAGTTTTCAGAAATCTGCTCCTTGAATAGAAAATCATATTTCTGTAGACGTTTAACAAAGACATACTTTTTTAAATCTTAATTTCCCCAGTATTCATGTTTGGAAGGAAAGTAAAATCGCATAAATGATGAGTGAACTAGTACGTGTGGTTTAGAACTTTGTAGGTTTAGTTTATCAAATGTAAATTTTTCCCTTTGGCCGCCTGATGTTTTAATTTTTACTGTAGCCCTTAATTTAGCTATTGTTGGGTTTCAATAAAGTAAAAAAAAAACTTGAACACTTAACTTTTTGGACTATTGTTTATTAAAAGAGCATTCAGTCAGAATGTTATATCTCAATTGTAAAACTCCTTGGGAATCTAAGGCCCAAAGGGTGCGTTTTTTTGCATTTAGCTCACTGTGCTTTTCTTTCATGTCTTTCTGTTCAGCTGGAATGCTTGCCAATTCTGCTGCAAACCTCTAGGCTGACCCTGCGGACCCCAGAACCCTGCTGGAAAAATGCCGTCTGAACACTGCCTCAGGTGAGCCCAGCAGCATATTTCCTGGGTGGTGTAGTCAGCCCCCCAGTCTTCACACTGCACATTCCAGGACCAAGTGCAGAGCAGGGGCGCAACACATATTTGAAGGAATTAAGCCGTCCAGTCAGAGTGTGTGTGAGTTCCATATGGTAACACCAGATCTAAGTGCTGTGATCTGGTTACTAGTCAGACCTACACATGTTTCATCGTTCTTTGACTGATACTAGTTTTTATCTTTTTCTTATTTAGGATATTAACCTCCCTCAAACAAAAGGCATACTGCTATAAAGGTATATGATTTTAAAAAGTATCAGGCCCTGGCCAGGTAGCTTAGTTGGTTAGAGTGTCATCCCCACATGCCATGTTGCAGGTTCGATTTCCAGTCAGGGCACATACAAAAATCAACCAATGAATGCATAAATAAGTAAAACAACAAATCAATGTTTCTCTCTCAAATCAATAAATTTTAAAAAAATAATCAGAAAGCTATACATATATTTGACTGTCATCCTAAAGCAATCACTGGGGAGTGTGATACGTATTCTCAAAATACTCATGACATTTTCTCTTAATAATTTACTTATTTAACATATTTATTGAGCCAAGCACCCTACTTGGTGCAGAAAATCCAGCAGTGAATAACATAGATGAGGTTACTGCCCTTATAAAATGTATATTCTATGGGCAAATCACACCAGGAATAATGCAAATGTCATTGTGAGAAGTGCTTTGGAGGAAGAGTACAGGATTGCTGGGATGAGGAAGTGCCTTCGTTAGGACGTGCTCTATGATCTGAGTTCTGCAGGTGGGATGACAAGGGGAAATGCCTCAGGCAGAATGGAGCTTGGCGCATTCCCCAAACCCAGAGGCAGTCATTTAGAAAATGCAGGGTGTTCCTTTGAATGTTCTCAGTGGAGGCAAGTCTTCATCAGCCTCTGAGGAAACAAATGGATCTTCAGATCAAAGAATAAGAAAGGTGATAAACCTGGGAAATACCTTCTTTATAAAAATATTAAAAGTTGGATTTGTCTATGAAATACTGAAACCAGCTTTCCTCCACGACTCTGAAGCTATTAGGGATAACCAGTTCCCAAAATGTGTTCTGAAACAGGCATTGCTGCTGGTGGCATGGTGCCTCTGCACTCCCCAAGGGAATCTGCTGCTCTAGACCAGTGACGCTCTAGGGCAGTGGTTCTTAACCTTCTGGCCCTCTAAATGCAGTTCCTTATGTTGTGACCCCCAACCATAAAATTATTTTCGTTGCTACTTCATAACTGTAATTGTGCTACTGTTATGAATCATAATGTAAATATCTGATATGCAGGATGGTCTTAGGCGACCTCTGTGAAAGGGTAGGTCGACTACCAAAGGGGTCGCGACCCACAGGTTGAGAACCGCTGCTCTAGGGGGATGAGTTTGCCCTCAGGATACATTGTGCAAATACCTGGCAACATTTTTGGTTGTCACTCAGGGGCGGGGATGCTAAATATCTTAAAATGCGTAAGATAACCTTCCCCTAGTGCTCTCTCCCATAGCAAAAAAAGAAAACAAAAACTGATTTAACCCAGAACATTGATTTCACTGACATGGAGAAACCCTGCTCTAGATTTGGCCTCCAGCCAATAGAGCACATAAAGACCGTGGTATCTGTCTGCCACCACCTCAACCAAGTGCTTTATTTTTGGCTACCAGGATCCATGTGCAATCTTCTGAAATGATTGTTTTTCTTTAAATCTGCCATCTCTGTTTTTACTGATCAACTCCTATTGCCATCTGTCCTCCACAGCACTATCATCTCCACCGTGGTCTTTCCTTCTCTGCTGAGACCCAGAGCCCTCCCTTCCCCAGCTTTCAAACTTCCCCTGCATCCTGTGGAACTATTATCATCTGCCTCACCCTGAAAAACTCTATTCATCTCCCGACTTCATTGAGACCCGCCCTCTCCTGAGGCATCACTTCTCTTGTGGCCCTCTCACATGGTGGCATTATTATTTCCTCACGTCATGTGTGTTTTAGGAATGAGTAGAGAGATTGTTGTCACCCTGGGACATTGTTTTGCTTCGAGATCATTACTCCTCAAACTGGTTGTTTGAGAAAAAACACACACAGCAAAAACTTGCTTCTGAAGGTGGTGCTCTTTACCTCTCTCACCCTCACCTCCACTCCACTACTGTCTGGGCCATTTCCTCATTCACTGAGCGTTTAGCACAGCCGTGGGCAAACAGGCCGATCCGGCCCATTTGAAATGAATAAAACTATTGAAATAAAAGACCGTACCCTTTTATGTAATGATGTTTACTTTGAATTTATATTAGTTCACACAAACACTCCATCCATGCTTTTGTTCCGGCCCTCCGGTCCAGTTTAAGAACCCATTGTGGCCCTTGAGTCAAAAAGTTTGCCCACCCCTGGTTTAGCACCTGGTCTGTCTTCTCATCAGGAATCCTTTACAACTTCCCAGTGCTCTCAGTGTTTGCGTGGAGAATCTGTCCAACTTTGTCGCCTTGGGTCTTCAACCTGCTCATCCCCGAAGTCCTTCTCCCTTCACTGAACCACCGTCTCCCACGCTCACACCTCGGACCTTGAATCTCCAGTAGTTGCTGTTTCTGAAACCACATCAAACACTTTACTCTTACCAGGACCACTCCTTCTGTGTCTCGCTCATAGCTACCTCCACCATGGTTGTACTTGGACCTCATTGCAGTGTCTCATCTACTGGCCCTGCTACTTTCTACAACCCATCAACCTTTTTGTCCCTTCATTTCCCTTCTCATCCAGTTGAGACTCTACCACTCTTTTAAATCCTTAATTTCTCTTGCTCCATTCATTTCCCTGACAAAATCACAACTCTTATAAACCCAACTATCCAGGTCCTATGGAGATTGGTTCCCCTAAATCTTTAAATTCAACAAGTCCAAAATGCCCAGAGTTTTAATATGTTCTGGTCCACTTATCCCCTCTCTCCTGCCACCCAGAGGGCAGTCATTTTCCATAGCTGAGCCCAGCCCTGCTTCTGTGTTTTGAATTCTATCTTTCTTATCTTCTCAGCAACCTTTGACTGTGGACTGTCTGTCAACTATGTTCTGGAGACACAGCTGGCTGTGCTTCTATTCCCCTCTCTATGGAGACGAGTCACAGATTTTCACCTCTAGCCAAGACCTCTTGCTGAGCTCAGGTCCTGTACCACATCCTGCCTTGTCCTCAGATTCTAGCCATTAACATTCTGTGTGAGGGCCATGCTCCCTCCTCCACGGGATTATAGGACTTGCTGTTCCCCTCCCTGGAAACCTCTTCCCTCTCCTGTTTGCTACAGCCCACAGCTCCAGCTGTACTTCAGGAAGGCCAAATTACTTGATTAATGTGTAACTGCCTTGCTAAACTGAATGTTCCACAAGGGGTGCTACCAAGCTTGGTGTGTTCACCATTCTATCTCCAGGACCTACTGCAATACCTGGCACAGGGTGAATAAATATTTCTGGAAGGAGTGTGTCATGAACATCATGCTTTGCATGTGATTTTTTAGCTTTTGCCATCCATTTCAGAATGAAAGTTAAAGACTCGAAGTCATGAATAGCCCTGTTCCCTAAGACATCATTTATTTATCGCTCTGTTCCTCCTGGTTGCTGACATATGGCCAATCAAACAGTTGCTCCCTGGCACCACTAAAAAGCAATCTGCTGCTCAGGGCATCTGGGGCTTGCCCTGGTGTAACCCAGAGTCGGGGCCCAGGGAGGTTCAGGAACAGCCATGCTCATGGGCAGCTCCACAGGGTGCCTGGTGCTCTCACAGAGCTCAGGTGGGAGCAAATGAGGGCCCGTCTCCCTGGGAACCTGTACACTGTCCAGAAGAACCATAGTGCAAAGCATATTGATAATTTAAAGTTTTGAGAGTCACATTTTTTAAAAAGACAAAAAGAAACAGGTAAAATGCATTTTAGCTATATAGTTTAAGCCAGCATATCAAAAATATCTGGCCGCCTTTTTCCACACGATATCTGGCATCCAGTGTGTCTTTTACACTTACAGCACATCTCAACCAGGTCTGCCCGCACGCCCGTGGTCAGCAGCCACGTGCAGTGGGTGTTGTATTGGACAGCACAGTTCTAGGGGCTACCTCTGGGAGGCTGCTGGGATTGCCTCGGAGAAGCCAGCACCCTCTGCACTCACCTGGGAATTTTGAAGGGGTGACATTACTTTCATGGAAGACCTTTCCTAGTTTTAGGAAGACACTCAAATCTGTGTATCCCTGGGAAATGTGCTTCAAGTTTTGGTCTTTTTCAGTAATTTAGGAAGTTTTAGGAATATGGTTTTCCTACCTTCTTCTTTGTTCCCCACATACTGGGAAGACATTACTCCGAGTGGGGAGGTTTAATGTGCTAATTTGGTATAAGTTATAGATGCCAAGGGAGCCGTTTGCAAGCATGTGCCTGCTCCCCACCTTAATGTAGTCATGGCACATTATAGTCTTTGCTTCACCTCCTCCTCGTTTATTATCGTTGGCTTCCAAAGGGCCTACCATCTTCCAGCTGTGTTCTGTGGCCACCCATGCCTTAACATTTAGAGGGTTGAGGTCTTTTGCAGATTTACATCTGAGAGTAAGTGGGAAGTTACTTTCAGACTACAATAATGGCTTGTTGATTAATAGACCTTTATTTTATTTATTTATTTATTTTTGCCAAATGTTGCAGTATTTGTTTCTGCTTTGAAGAATTCCTAACATATTGGTTCCAAAATATTTGGAATCTGGAGCCAAGTTTTGCCTTAAATATTTAGCATGTTGTTTTCTTCAGGCTGGGATATTTCAAGCCCAGCTGAATGATCCTGCAAAATTGTGCAGCATCACAATTGTTTCAGAGCTAAGCCCTTTATTCTTGGGCAAATTTCAGTTTACAGCTGTTCTTTCCCTGGCAAGATTTATTCACTGTCAATTGATATCTGAAATTCAAATACTGACTCAGTCTTAATAAAAGGACACAAATTGTGGCACTTTCTTTGGAAAATGAGTAAGGAAACATTTTAAGGCAATTATTTTAATATATTCTTCTGTTCCACTACAAATGAAACTTCAAAATACATTTATTAAGCACTTAAGATGATATTAAAAGGGAGAAAAGTTATGAGGGTTTCAAATAAAATTTTTAACGTTATAAAAAATCTATTCTCTAGTCTAAAACTTATGTTAGTTACAGTGCAAAGATAAATATTTTGAATCATGATTTCAAAAATTTCTTATCACATGAATATGTTCATGTATATTATTTTTAAAAAGCAACTTTGATTTTGCAATTAACCATACATAATATAAATATAAAATTACTACGGACCTTGTGATGTTCTTCCCTTGCAATCATAGATACTTAATGTCTTTTTAATAGATTATCACATTTTTTGTTTTGTCTTTTTTTGTTTGTTTTGTAAGCAGGAGGATGAATTTACATTATTGTGTTGTTGGTGATAGGTTCTCAAAATGCCTGATCTTAGACCCTCAGCTTTATCTGTAAAGCAGAGATAATGATAGTATCTGCCTCATAGGATTGTTATGAATGTTAAGTAAATTAATACTTATAAATCACTAAGAGTAATTCATGGAACATAGTAAGAGCTTTGTGTTTGTAAAATATATCAAAATGTTCTCTTATTTAGGAGAGATTTTTTCAAAAACTATTTTAAAGCTTTACTTATATGATACAACATTTCTGTTACTATTGTATTCCTTCATTTCTTTAATTGAGCCATGCTAATGAACCTCCATTTTTGGCTTTGCATAGAAATTTGTATTGAAAAGTTATTTATGCTTCTGAATGCAGTTTTCAATTGCTGATATAAAAAGTCTGCTGATAGCTAAAGCCACTAGGAGATGAATATTTGATGACAGTAACCATTTCAAAACCCACTGCTGCATTACAACTGAAAATAATCCTCCCACCTTCCCACGAGAACTTCCTATATCATCACCTCCTGTCAAGTTCTTTTTCTTTCAATGGTTCTGACATTTCGGAGGCTCCCCAGTCAGAAGTGCCCAATGCAGCTAGCTTACTGGCTACACTCTGGCGTTTCACAGGAAGCATTGGCTTCCATTTCAGGTGGTGTGATTTGTGCTGAATCGTAATCTATCAGCCAACTGGAACCGCAGGCTGGGCAGAGTCACTCAAATACATTAATCATGCAGTGTAGGCCAGTGGTTACTCCCTAAGTCCTCCAAGAGGCTCTTTCCCACTCAGAGGGAGAGACTGGAGGCAGGAGTTGCCAGGATAGGAGAGACAATGCTCAATCATCCATGTGGCATCTCTCCTCAGCTTGATGAAAAGGGTGCAGACCTGAAATGGGTTGATGGTCCTTGGTCTTGTTCTGAGGGTAATTTGTGAGTGATGCCACTCCCCTCTCTTAGTCCAGTGCCAGTTCTGAGGGTGAGAGCGCTGAAGAGATTTTCATACATCTGAGCTGGAATTGTTCATAGCTGCCTGCAAATGCCGTTTGCATTTTGTGTTTATGGCATTACTTACACATTATTTTAAGAAGATCAGGGGTTTCACCTAGGAGTTTTGAAAGGATATGGGAAGAATATTTTAGAATGGGGTAGGGAATGAAGGGGGAAAGTTTCACAATGGATAAATTTAGCAACTTCGAAAAACAGAAGAGAAAATAAAATTGTATAGTCATTCACAAATCTAGTTCAGTGATCACATAGAGACATTGGTGGCTGAAACTGTAGATATATTTGACTTTCAGCCTTAAATGTTTCTCACAGTGGCATTTCCTTTCATGTTCATAATTTTCCAAGTTAAATAATAAGCAGCTGTGGTTGAATTAATTGCTTTTTGCATGGAATGGTCACTGGCAGCCCTGTTTTCTCTTACTGGCATTTGCTTCATTCTGTTTTATTTACTAACTAGAGGCCTGGTGCATGAAATTCGTGTGTGTGTGTGTGTGTGGGGGGGGGGGGTCTTGCAGCCCAGCCTGCACCCTCTCACAATCTGGGACCACTGGCTCCTAACTGCTCACCCACCTGCCTGCCAGATCACCCCTAACCAATCTGCCTGCCTGCCTGCTTGATGCCCCTAACTGCTCCCTGCCTGCCTGATCACCCCTAACTGCCTCTGCCTGCCTGCCTGATAGCCCCTAACCACCTCTGCCTGCCGGCCTGGTCACCCCTAACTGCCCTCCCCTGCCGGCCTTGTTGCCCCTAACTGCCCTCCCCTGACAGCTTGGTCATTCCTAACTGCTCTCCCCTGCCAGCCTGATCACCCCTAACTGCCTCTGCCTTCGCCCCCACCACCGTGGCTTTGTCCGGAAGGACATCCAGATGGATGTCCAGAAGATGTTTGTTCTAATTAGCATATTACCATTTTATTAGCATAGATGGAGTACTGTGTGCTGTGTGGGACTTGGTGACATCCTGGACCTCTGGTGAGTCAGGCAGGTCCAGTGGATTCTGTGCTCGACCAGTGCATGGCTGTGACCTTGCTCTGAGCTTGTGTGTCCTCAGAGGACAGAGGAGGTACAAAGCTGAGAAAGAAGCAGAGAGTTCGGGAGGGGTCATGGAGTGGACAGGGTCACCTGCAGACATGCACAGTTTGGATGCACTTTCACTGAGATGTCCACTTACTGAGGACAGAGGCTTAGAAGCAGAGGCTCACAGGCCCACAGGCATGGGTCAGTGCACAGACACAGGTGGACACACATGATTCAGAAAGAGAAACACGAGTAGGAAAGAAAAAGAACCCTGAGGGGGTGAAGAAAGAGAATTCTAGGAAAGGGGAGCAAGAGCATGGTGGAGAGAAAGAAAACGGGGGAGCCCAAAATCCCACTCTAGTACGCTGGAGCCCCCATTCCCCGTGGGTGTTGAGGGAGTGAGGCACGTGGGGCAGCCAGGGCTGCTGGAGGACGCGTGCTGACTGGATTGCTCTTCCTAGTATTCAAGAAATGCTGACAGGCCAGAGGCTCTGCCACTCGGAATCTCACAACGACAGTGTCCTGGCAGCGCTGAATCAGCAGAGGAGCGACGGCATGCTCTGCGATGTCACCCTGATTGCGGAGGAGCAGAAATTCCATGCTCACAAGGCCGTCCTGGCGGCGTGCAGCGACTACTTTCGGGTAAGTTCAGGTTGGTTGTTTCTCTTCAGATGTCAGTTAAACAGAGGATGATAAAATTTCCTGGAGTGTCACACAACCAGCAGCCAATTAGATGGTAGTTCTCAGAGTTGTACGTGTTGGGGGCCTCCCCTGGGCAGAATGAGATGGGGCCCTATTGGGATCCTCCCTCGGCTGTATATCCGGATGTCCCTCCTCTGTGTCTGAGTTGAGGGGCATTTAACATTTGACCACCCTAAGAAAGTGTGGCATTGTAGTGCTTCATCATAGGGGGTGTGAGCTGGGGTTAGGATGTTTCTAGATTCAGGATCAGAAGGGGAATCCGAAAACAATCTGATAAAATAAAGAAAGTCCCTAAAGATATGTAATGCTTCTGATTTTGTTTTTATGCATGTTCTAGTCTTAGTATTTTCCAATATTTACTCCAGGAACAGAAATGCAATTGGCCTCATGGATCTTTCTGGTTGACATGTGAGTCCATAATGGCTGAAGAAGACATGTCTTGTTTAGCAGGACTCTGGAGTTTGAGTTCTAGTAGCGAATGAGATGTGGTGACATGCTTGTTGTTTTGAAGATGAATGTGTACAGTATGGTTATAGCTAGTTGAATGCCATCTATTTAGTACTTCAGGTGATTCAGGCACTCCTGTGATTCAGGTGGTGGAAAAAGGATTTTATATGCATATCTCATTTAATCCTCCTAACAACCCATTTTACAAACACATACAAGTGCTATAAAAATCAACATTTTTCATATGGAAACTGAATCTTAGAAGTTGTGTAGTCCTATATAATAAAAGGCTAATATGCAAATTGTCCCTTTGACAGGGAATTCGACCAGGGGGCAGGGATGGCCTGCCAATCACCTGTGGCCCCTCCCCTGGCCAACCCCACCCCCGATCGGCTCCTCCCATGGCCCACCAATTGCTCAATCACCCTCCCCACCCTGAATCGAACCCGGGACCTCTCAGTCCGCAGGTCGACGCTCTATCCACTGAGCCAAACCGGTTTCGGCCAGGCCTCTAGTTTTAGATAACTCAGAGGTTAAGTAATAAGTCTCATAGTTTCTAAGTAAAATTAAAGTATGGATATAAGAAAAAAACCTTGATAATCATTAACCAGAATATCCTATATAATAAAAGGGTAATATGCAAATCGACTGAACAGAACGGGCAGAACGAATGGCTGCTATGACATGCACTGACCACCAGGGGGCAGATGCTCAACACAGGAGCTGCCCCCTGGTGGTCAGTGTGCTCCACAGGGGGAGCATCACCGGTGTCCTAGGCAGTGCTAAGGATGTCTGACTGATGGCTTAGGCCCACTCCCCACAGGGCTAAGCCAACAGTCAGACATCCCCCCAGGGCTCCCAGACTGTAAGAGAGTGCAGGCCAGGCTGAGGGAACTCCCCTCCCCCACCCTGAGTGCATGAATCTCATGCACCAGGCCTCTAGTTTTTAAATATTAATTTCTGAATATACATTATTTAATTCTTACTTAATTTTCTTTTCAATGCTATTTTGGTTGATAATTTCAAAACATTACAGTGTACAATCTATATAAATGAGAATATATATATGTATGCATGAATTTTTATGAAATTTCTTTATGAAGTTCTCAAAAATGATATAGAAACCAACTTAGGCACATGGGCAATTTGTTGGTTTGATTTGTACATTTCCAATAATCTTGTTTTTTATGATTAAGAGACATATTAACTGCACTCAATTGTGAACCAGCAGTTAAAGAGAATTTTCAAAGATGCCAAATCATAAAAGAAAGATTTTTAGAAAAAGTGTTTTAAGTGTGGTAAAACCTAGTAATGTAGAGGATAAATAGATAATTACTTAAAATGTCTATCTAAAATAAAAAGTGGGGATTTAATTATAGACTGCAGCAATGAAGCAGAATATCTGAAAAGTGACCTTTAGTTGCATTCGTATAATGATATATTTTATACACTCTCAAATTGTGGGCATTAATCTTCCAGAAAGTTTACATTAATCAGAGGATGTTTCAAACAACATACTTTGAATTATAATATATAACATGTGCACATTATCTAATAGGAGTCCTGTCTTCCTGTGTACCATAATATAACTGTCTTGGTGCTTAGCTGCTCTCCTCTGAAGTCTCTCCTGATTGGGTTTTTAATTTAATTTTGGGAAATGGTTTGATGTGTGCATGTGTGTATGTGAGCCAGTACATGCATGTGAGTGCAAGAGAGCGTTTTCCTTGTTGGCATTTAATAGTGTTTGTTGCTACTCCCAGTTCTTCATCTCTTCCACCACAATGCCCCTGATACTCTGGTAGGTTAGACACAGAGGACCTCTTTTATAATACTTGTGTTATAATGCCTATGAAGAAAGCTTTATTGTTCCCATTCTGCAGATAAGGAAGCTAAAGTGCAATAAGCGTAAATATCCTGTCCAAGGACTGCCAAACATTAAGGAGAAGAGCTGATTTTCACACTCCAGAGCATCTGTCTCCTTGAGTACCAAGTGTGCTTTCTCCACTTAACTACATAGCCTGCTGGGTTCATACACAGTTCCTTCAATGTCATCACCTGTTTGTGAGATGAAAATTAAGTGACTTGTGTATTGATTGTTCTGATCGATAAATTGAGACAAAGTTGGAACAATTGCCACAGTCTGAATAGTACAGTCCATAAAAAATTAAATTTTTTAAATAATGGATAGTAAGTATGACTGTCCTTTACTCTGGAGAGAGACATTATTATATTGGCCAGGAAGTATGCCTACCTTTTGCTCTGCAAAGAGAATGGTATCTTCCAGGATTGTAAGCAAGACTGCCTTTTGCTCCAAAGGGAAAACCACTCTGTCATTCAAACCTCTTTGCTATAGAAACATCTTTGAAAAGAGAGTTCAGAACAAAGGACAGTCAGTGCCTTGCTCTCAATACGTGCATAAGTGCAAGAGAGCCGTGGAGGACCGTCTCCCAACAACCACGTGCCCTAACTAACATTATGTTTGTCTTTCTTGTGTCTTATGCACTGCCACACTGAGATATCTGGAAGCGGTATCCTGTTTTAGGTTTTTCTCTGTATTTCACAAGCCTTATAATGTTGCTTCAGGCTTAGTCACTGCTCAATTAATATTTATTAAGTGAGTGATGTTTTCTAATTGTCATAGAATTTATGTATATTTCAATTCTTAATATCCTGCATATGAAATATGCAAATTATTCATGGATGGTTTCTTCTATGTGATCTGTTCAGGTTAATTAAGTACTTCGATGTAAATAGACTTTTGTACTCTGTATTCTGATATCTGGCAGATTATTTTGAAACTGAAGTAATGGTTCTGATTCAGGAGAGGTGAGGCTTGCAAAAGTGAGGAGAAGGCCCCAGTTTTTACATAAACAGTTTCTGTACATTGATCTGAGAGTTGGCATCAGCTTTTCTTGATTAAAATATGAATAATGAGTAGTTGAGCATAAAATACTGTGACTTCTTGTGATCATCAACATTTTAAAAGGAAGGGTGAAAACAAAGTCTTTGGCCAAGTAATGATGATTTTTAAAATAAGGTTTAATATCAGTGGTGTGGGCTGAACATGGCATTTGCCAAATGCTATAACTGAGTCAGACCAGGGACTTTTTAAATAAGAATGTAAAGCAGTGGTGGAAGGAAGGAAGGGAAGAGCTTATGAATCAGGTCTGATTTTGAATGCAGCAGCAGGGACTGTGTTCACCACCGTTTTTCCCAATTCCTGACAAATAGTAGGTGCTATTCTAATTTAATATTGGGTTATTCACTCTCTTTACTATCTATTCTTTGATCATAGACATGTCATCTTACTTCTGTGAACCTACGTTTTTTTCATTTGTGAATAGATGATCACAAAACACAGCTCTCAGAATGGCTTGATACAGAGATTTAAATGATATATTGTAATGCACTAAGCGCTGTGTCTGACACAAAGAAGACCTTCAGTGAACACTAGCTGTCTCACTCCTTGCACTAACTTGCAATTTCTAGTCATGCTCTGCCTATTTGTAGGAAAAGAAAAGAGTTCATACTTAGGCTCACCTAATTACAGACTCATTTACCTTTTGATGGGTGAGAATAACTTTTTGGTTGCATCCGTTATCATCTTTTCATTTTCTGAATCTGACACCTCCTTCCTTCTTGTGTAGAACATTCTAGTAGCCATCTGACATTTCTCCTCCTTTGGTTGCCCCTTTGCTAACCATTGTGCAGACGACTGTGTGATTACTTTCGCTGCCCTGCTCAGGTCCTCCAAAGCTCCTCACTCCCGGTCTGCCAGGCTCCTGGAGCGAGCCTTCGTACTGCACCAGCATCATTATCCTCATCTTTCTTCTCCCACCTGTTCATTTGATGTTGCAGCCAGACTGTTCTCTAAACACTCAGTTTTCCACCTGAGGGCCTTTGCCCTTCTCGGCCTTGGTAATAACTATTTCTTCCACCTGGAACTCCTATTCCCTTCTTAGTCCCTGGGCATCTACCAAGGTATACCACAGCCAGCAGCAGGTGTGAAGTCCTTCACAAAGGCTTTACCCTCTGCCATCTCCCTAAATTCATATGCAAGTCCCCCCTCCTCTGAAACCTTAAAACTAGCTTGTCTCCCTGAAGGAATTAAAATGCAACCTATGGAATGGGAGAAAATATTAGCAAAAGAATCCAATTCAAAAATGAGCAGAGGAACAGAATAGACATTTTCCAAAGAAGACATACAGTTGGCCAGTGGGTACATGAAAAGGTTCTCAATGTCACTAATCATGAGTAAAATGCAAATCAAAAATCACTTCACATGAATTAGAATGACTATTATCAAAAATGTAGGTGATAACAAATGTTGACAGGGATGCAGAGAAAAGAGAACCCTTTCATTTGTTGGTGGGAATGTGACTTCATGCAGCCACTATGGAAATGAAAGAATATGAAGGTTTCTCAAAAATTAAACGTAGAACTGCCATATAAGATCCAGCAATTCTACTTCTGAATATGCATCCAAAAAAAAT